GATTTGACAGAGGAGTAATATGCAGTTACTGTAAGAAGCCCGGACACTTGATCAAAGAATGTAGAAAATTGCTGTTCAAAAATCAAGGAAATCAGCTTGCTCATGTTGCTTCCGCTACCAGTTCATCCGATGGATCAATTGCTATTTCTTCAGACGAGTATGCCAAATTTATTTGCTACCAAGAAACTCTAAAGCATTCCTCTGTCCCTATCTCGGTAACCGCTAATTCAGGTATTTCAAACACGTGTCTTGTTTCCTCATCCTCGAAATGGGTCATTGACTCAGGTGCCACAGATCATATGACCGGTAATCCTAGTCTATTCTCGTCATTTCATTCATATTTACCTACTTCTAGTGTCACTTTAGCTGATGGATCTACCTCACCCGTTCTTGGATCTGGTACTGTTGTTCCAACATCTACATTACCATTATCGCCTGTTTTGAGTCTTCCTAATTTTGCATTTAATCTGCTTTCCATCAGTAAAATCACTCGTACTCTTAACTGTTCTGTAACATTTTTTCCGGGATATTGTGTGTTTCAGGATCTGTTAACGATCCAGATTATTGGTAAAGGACATGAGTCAGCTGGTCTATATATTTTGGATACATCCATCACCAAAGGTATCTCTTGTCTTGGGGTTGGGACTTTGTTAGATGCTCATTACCGATTAGGACATCCATCTCTCCCATTAATGAAGCAAATAAATCCCCAATTTAATAAGACGGCCTCTTTACAATGTGAGTCATGTCAATTTGCGAAACACCATCGTACTAGCTTAGGCCCGCGAGTTAATAAACGAGCAAATGCTCCATTTGACCTTGTTCACTCTGATGTTTGGGGTGCTTGCCCGGTTGTGTCTAAAGCTAGTTTTAAATATTTTGTTACCTTTGTTGACGACTATTCTCGTATGACATGGTTGTATTTCATGAAACGTCGATCTGAGTTGTTCACTCATTTTTCTTCCTTTTGTGCTGAAATTAAAACTCAGTTTAACGTTCCTGTTCGGGTGTTAAGAGGAGACAATGCCCAAGAATATCTATCTGCTACATTTAAGTCATTTATGCTTCAACATGGCATTATTCATCAAACTTCATGCGTTGATACACCTCAAAATGGAGTTGCGGAACGAAAGAACCGACATCTGTTAGAAACTGCAAGGGCTCTTCTATTCCAAATGAATGTGCCTAAACAGTTTTGGGCAGATGTCGTGTTTACTGCATGTTTTTTGATAAATCGAATGCCATCTTCTGTTTTGAATGGTAAAGCTCCTTATCATTGTCTATTTCCAAACAGAGAGCTTTTTCCTATCCCACCTAAAATATTTGGTTGCACTTGTTTTGTTAGAGATGTTAATCCTCATCTAACAAAGTTAGATCCGAAATCATTAAAATGTATTTTCTTGGGTTATTCTCGAGTCCAAAAGGGGTATAGATGTTTTTGTCCGAGTACTGGTCGGTATCTTGTTTCTATTGATGTATCATTTCATGAAAATACAACTTTTTCATCATCTAAGGCAGATATTCGTGAGAGTAATGATGATATTCTCATTTACACGATGACTATTCCTGAGTCCACACTTTCGACAAATATTCCACAAGTTACTGTTCATGACCCTAGGCCTCCCGTACATTTGGTATACACCCGTCGACACAAAGCACCTGATCACCCTCCACCGTCGATACCTGTGATTACTTTTCTTGATACTAGTTCGACTCCGATCTCATGTCCTGAACCAGTATCTGCATCTTCAGATCTTGTTTCCACATCAGATCTTGATCTCCCAATAGCAGTACGTAAAGGTACACGGTCTTGTACTCATCCTATTTCTTCATTTGTGTCGTACAATCAGTTATCTCCTACTTCATGTTCTTTTATTGCTTCCATTGATTCTATTTCTGTTCCCAAATCTGTCAAAGAAGCTCTGTCTCATCCTGAATGGCGTCAAGTCATGGTAGAGGAAATGAATGCTTTAGATCTTAATGGTACATGGGATTTGGTTGACTTACCTACAGGGAAGTAATCTATTGGATGTAAGTGGGTCTTTGCTGTTAAGGTTAACCCAGACGGATCCGTTGCTCGGTTGAAAGCCCGATTAGTTGCGAAGGGTTATGCTCAAACCTATGGTGTTGATTATTCTGACACTTTTTCTCCTGTTGCTAAATTAACATCTGTCAGGTTACTTATCTCACTCGCTGCAATTCATGATTGGCACTTACATCAATTGGACATTAAAAATGCATTTTTGCATGGTGACCTTAAGGAAGAAGTCTATATTGAGCAGCCTCCGGGATTTGTTGCTCAGGGGGAGTATGGTAAAGTTTGTCGACTTCACAAATCTCTTTATGGTCTGAAACAGAGTCCTCGTGCATGGTTTGGGAAATTCAGTCAATCAATTGAACAATTTGGAATGATAAAAGGCAAATCAGACCACTCTGTATTTTACAAACAAACAGAATCAGGTGTCACATTGCTTGTGGTATATGTTGATGATATTGTGATTACAGGGAGTGATAATGCAGGTATTTTGGCCCTTAAGAATTTTCTGCATAGTCAATTCCAGACGAAAGATCTTGGCTCTTTGAAATACTTTCTGGGAATTGAGGTCAGACGAAGTAAGAAAGGCATATTTCTATCTCAACGTAAATATGTACTTGACTTACTAGCTGAGACAGGGAAATTAGGGGCAAAACCAAGTACAACACCCATGGTTCCCAACGTGCAACTCACTCAAGAAGGCACACCGTTTGAAGACCCAGAAAGATATAGAAGACTGGTTGGAAAGCTTAATTATCTCGCAGTCACCCGTCCAGATATTGCTTATTCTGTGAGTGTAGTGAGTCAATACATGTCATCTCCGACCATTGATCATTGGGCTGCTGTAGAACACATATTATGTTACTTAAAGGGAGCACCAGGACGAGGTATTGTTTATCAAAACCATGATCACATGAGAATAGAATGCTTTGCAGATGCTGATTGGGCCGGTTCTAAAGATGATCGAAGATCTACATCTGGCTATTGTGTCTTTGTTGGTGGTAATCTTGTATCCTGGAAGAGTAAGAAACAGAATGTGGTTTCTCGTTCTAGTGCTGAATCAGAATATCGAGCTATGGCACAATCCGCATGTGAGATAATATGGATACACCATTTATTGAATGAAATTGGATTGAAGACACCAATGCCTGCTCAGTTGTGGTGCGATAACCAAGTTGCTATACACATAGCAAACAACCCCGTATTTCACGAGAGAACAAAGCATATTGAGGTTGATTGCCATTTTATTCGAGAGAAGATACAAAAAGGATTAATCTCTACCGGGTATGTGAAGACTGGAGAACAACTTGGAGAATTATTCACTAAAGCTCTAAATGGGATTCGAGTTGATTACTTATGTAACAAGTTGGGCATGATAAATATCTATGCTCCAACTTGAGGGGGAGTGTGAAAGTATTATTGTATTTAGGAATATGCTCTAGAATATGCTTTAGGAATATACTCTAGACATTATTATTGTATAGCATCTTATATAGGAATATTCCATCTTTGTAATATATATATAGGGCCTTAACCCTCTAATGAAATACACAGAAAATCCTTCTCTTCATCTTCAATGTTATTCTAGTTTATAATTCAACACAGCAGAAGATGACAACATTCTGAGGACGATGACGGCCAACGACTTCAGATCCATCCTTGATTACAGCGATGGGATACAAAGATCAGCCTAGGGTTCATTTGACAGTAGTGGCGGCGTAGCTAAGGACGGCGACGAGCGACCCGTTCCGGGTCTAGATCTAGAAGTCTGATGCAAGCTCTATTTATCCCACTGTGAACCCGATGCAATTGAAATCAATTGGGATGGTGTGCGGCAGCGATAGGGAAGCTGGAGGAGGGTCCCGGAGTGGGTCAGTGACAGATCAAGACAGGCCTGGGGTGGCAGTGACGGAGAGGGGAATGGGGAGGTGGTTGGGGACTGTGGAGGTGGCTGGGGGCTGGGGCAGGGGAGTCAGCGGCTACTGCTAGCCACGGCGCCAGTCCCCGCCGGGACACATATGGTCACTGGCGACGGTGGTTAACAGGTCATTAGCGGAGGTGGTTAACTGGTCACTGGTAATGGGGTCGACGGTGTGCGTTGTGGCGGGTCGCTGGTGGGCTATAATATGGGAAAGTAAGTCACTGGCTGACGGTGGTCAGTGGTCACTGAGGTGTCGGTCACAGTGAGATGGAGTCACTGACACATGGTCACTCTAACTGGTCAACTAGGTTTAGACGTTTAGTAAGGGTATAATGGACCTCTTAGGCTTTTTTAGTCTCATTTTCAGAAATTTTTAAAAAAGGTCTATTTATGTCCATTAGTTAGCTTTTAGTATTATTCATGTCCTAATCCCTTTGCTTTATTATAATTCGATTTTCTATAATAAATTAGGAGATTTGTATTAATTAATAGATTTTGTACATAATGACTTTTTCCTTTATTAAATTAGTCCAACTTATAAATTGCAATCAACTGATGTATTTTATTCTTCAGAAACAGATTCTATTCTTCAAGATATATTTTGAAATTTATTTGCTAGTTCAACTAAATAAAATATACTCCCTCCATCCCTGAATTTACTTCCGTAGTACAAATGGCACACGGATTAAGAAAGTGAGTTTTCTGTGGTGGAGAGTTGTGCAGAGGAGAGAGAAATGTGTAAGAATTGTTGTGAACCACAAATTCTTTGTCAAAAAGGGAAAGAGAAGTTCTTTTTGGGACGGACGAAAAGGGAAAGTTGGAAGTATTTTCAGGGACGGAGGGAGTACTAAACTTGTTTGGAACATTTCTTCTTTTATGGAAAATTGCATTCAACTCAATCAGAAATAAATGCCTTTCGTTTACTTTTGGGACAAAAACAAATATGGAAACATTTTTTGGGAGTTCTAAAATTCGCAAATATAGAAGTTTAGATTTTCAAACTTGTCTCCAAAATCCTGAAATGAATTAGAAATACTAGTAGAGAAAAATACCGTAACAGCACTAAGAAGGGCAGTGCGTTCATCCATACTCTCTCCAAATCCAAAGCCACCAATCCAATAACCTACATCATATGAATATGTATTATATTTATTATCAGCTACATAAAAACATACATTTATACACTAACAATTAGTGCATATCAAACATCCCCACACTTAGTCCTTTACTCGTCTCGAGAAAATTCAAAACCTGTCCATGAAGTTCTTAAAACTACAAGAGTAGCAAAATACCCATCCAACATTGTTTTAGACAAACTAACATAGAATACCCCCATGATTAAAATAAGAGAGTAAAAAGATGTCTTCAACTCTATGTCTTCATCACCTTTTCTTCATCATGTCTTTCCTTAGGATCCTGCAAAAATATATACTTTTCTCTCATTCTCTCATTTTGCCTAGGTGCCCTCTCCGGTTTTCATCTCAGCTTCCCGCATTTTTCTTTTTAATCTCACAAACTCACTCTTATATTTGCTTTTATTTTTTATTAAGTTGCCTTTGTGGGTTTTGAACTTAAAATCTTTTTATTTTAATATTTTTTTTAAAAAGGTAAAAACAAGAATGAAGAGTATGGATGGATATATTGAGATATTAAAATGACAAACCATAGTTACTTGATGCAATAAATAAGTGCTTGTATGGGTCCAAAAAAACTCACGAAGTCATATTATCTATTTCTAATCAGTGATCACATGCATTGGCCCTTTGTTCCAATTTTAACACTAGTCGATAGGTCGGTCAACCATTATTAAACAACTATTGTCAAGTTTGACCGGCACAGAGAATAATAAAATAAAACCTGTGTGGTTGATGTTTGTGCAAAGGAGAAAAATAATAGGAAACACAAATGAATTGATTAAAAGGGTAAGTGACAAAGTTTTTAGACAACCAAAAAAGGGAAAATGGAAATGTTATAACGGAGGGAAGAAGTATTATTTATAAAACAAAAATACAAGGACTGAAAAAAGAAAGCCATGTAAATAGTAGTAGCCTTGGGGACATTTATCTTGTGACTTATGCTATTAAGATTTTAGGAACATTTAGATTTTAATGATGCTCCTAAAGCAGTAAATGGGTTTCAAGTTGGTTATTTATCTAACAAGTTAGGCATGATGAATATTTATGCTCCAATTTGAGGGGGTGAAGTTATTAGAATATGCCTTAGAATATTATAGAAATACAATTTAGGATATTATTATTGTTTACATATATAAAGGCACAATTCCTTTTAGCCTTTTTTTGTTTGATCCAATATTTAGTCACTGTTTAATGGAACTGCATTTCAGAAAGAAAAAGAATGTAAAAAAGCCAGCATATATCACTCCAAATTAATCTCTCTAAACAATGATAGTAGATAGGAACTTGGCAAAAGATGTTCCTCCCTCCTTCCTCCTCTTTCTTTGTCCTTGCTTCCTCTTAATTGGATAGCTTATATGCCTCACATTTTATTGATTGTTCACAGGAAAAAGTTTCTGCAATTTATTACTCGCATTTTATTATCAATTAAATGTTTTTTCAAATGAACAAGTTTCTTCACAGTTTAGCTGTTTTTTGTCTTTTTGAATGTCTATTAGTTTAGTAATTCCTAAGTGACAGCACTTTTCTTAATTAATGATTACATTCTTAACTTCTGGTTTCTAAATAGAGTTGGACTTTTCTTAAAAGGCAAATATTGCAGCCATTTCTCCTCAAACCTGTTGCTAAAATCCATTAGTTGCACACAAATAGTTTGACAAAAATCCATGAGTCCATATAATAATCTTGTTAATAATGTGTTGTGTATATTTCAGTTTGTATATAGTTTTAGATGGCTCCCGAGCGAAAGAAAAGTGTACATGATACTCAAAGAGGTGAAAATGAAAGTTCTGTTGAAAATAAATGAGGAAGAATTATTTGGTCAAAAAAACTCACTTCACATCCTTTGTGATCTCTGTATCAAATATGTGGAAAAGAGTAAAGGAAAAAATGGTGGAGTGACTTCTCAAAGGTTGTTATGGAAAAAGATTGAATCTGAATTTGAAAGAGAGACTAAGTTGCCGTGGGATAAAACGAAATTAAAAATAAAGTTGATTGGATGAGAAATAGGTGCACCTTATGGAAACAATTGAAGGCAAAAGATACTGGATTGGGATGGGATCATGTCATGGGAACTATTGATGCTTCTAGTAAAGGGTGGGCCTTAAAGATAAAGGTTAGTATGATTTCTTAAAATACCATACTAGAGTACTTATATTGTAAATAATTTACTTTTCAATTGTTTTTATAGGAAAATTCTAAGTTTGAATCATTTCAAGATGAAGGGATTGAGCCCGAAATGGAGTATAAAAATGGATCAAATATTTTCATGTTCTGCACAAGGAAAACTTAAATACACTCCAGGAAATATTACCTCACAAGAAGATGTGCAACCTGATATGGATGACGTTTATATTCCTTCTCCACCTCCTCCTGTTTACCATGATACTACTAACATCGACGATACGTATAATGTGGGAGGAAGTTCTACAGAATATGCATCGTGGGATGACTTATGGAGTGAGTTTAGTCCTACACGTACATCTCCTACTACACTTGATCGTCAAAATACACAAGTCCATACTGATGAGATAAGAATAGGTAAGAGGCACATTGAGGTTGAGTCATCACAAAGTAACAAAAGTGCACGGCGAACTCACACAAAAAAGGAGGGATGGCAACATTTCAAGAAATGTGCAGTGGTATGATGGAAGTAGTTTCAAAAAGGAGTGAATCATTCAATGAAGTCACCGGTTTGATGAAGGATATGATTAAAGTGAACTCAAATACTCATATGTCACAATATGGTATTGGAGAAACTATGGCAAAAGTTATCTGTTTGGATGGTCTCTCTACTACTTCGCCCGAGTTTTTCTTTGCTTGCACAATGTTTGAAGATCCACAACGCTGAACGATTTCCTTTTCTTTACTGGATGACAATAGTAGGGTTGAATACATTAGGTTTATGTACAAGAAGTCGGGGAACTAAACTTCTTATGTTTCTGCAACTTTAAATTTCTTTTTCTGAAAGAGTCAACTTTTGTCATGTATTCTTATTTTGCTATGCTATTATTATTATTACCATCATCATTATTATTTTTATTATTACGTTCATTACGATCAATGTATTCATCATCATATTGGTACAAGTTTATACTAATTTTGTAATTCTCTATGTGTAGGTATGGATACGAATGATATGGAAATTCTACAACTTCTCTTATGTTTAGAGTATTTGAAAGAAGAAGACGATTTTTTAGATATGATTACTTGTGTAACAAGTTGCATGGGTTCTTATTTTGTGAAGCATCTCTAAAAAGAACCTTGTATGAGTTCTTATTTAACAGGAGAGAAGTGGATGGATAAGTTATTGACTGGCCATGATAAGAGGTGTTTTAACGTCTTTAGAATGCACCAAAAAACATTTCGTGAATTATGCTTTGATAAGAACAGTCACAAGAAGAAAGCTAAAACAGAAAACTGATACGCAGATCTGATCAAATGGTAACGATAAAAGTGTGTATTGTTAATAGAGGGTAAACCGTAGGCAACAAGGCAACCAGTCTGTTCGAGAAGACCACTCTCCAAGGCAACACTCAATATCAAAACAACAGCCTGCCTTAATTAGCTATTGGCTTACTATTTATAGTAAAAGGTATCCACGCAGGAACCAAAACAAATAACCAACTAAATAGCTAATTACTAAACAGCCCTTCCCCTTCTATTTATACTAATAAATGTACCCTTACAATTATAAATATTTCTTATTATTAGCCTACTAAGCCATATTCCTATCAATACTTCCGCCCTAAACAACCACCTTGTCCTCAAGGTGGATGATAGGAAACAGCCATGATCATCCACTTCCCCTTCATCCTAGCACCTCTTCCTTCCCCATACCTCACAGCTTGCTTGACCATGACCTACATTACTTGACCTTTCATCTTTACATCCTTCACAGCAAATAGGAGCAGAAACTGGATATAAGAACTCCCTGGGATTACACTTGAAGCCTCTTCTTTGTAACTAATATCATCATATAAAGGTTCTGCATGGTAAAATCCAACTGCACTTGTAGTAATTTCAGCTGCTACATCATAGAGAACCGCAGCAACTGGCTTACCCAGATCTTTCTCATAATTCAGCAGTATCTTCCCTAAATTAGAAATAATCTGAGGAGTTTCATCTCTAAAGGGATCACATAGACAACAAACTATAACCTTTTCAAGAACACCCATCCAAACTTGAAATGTTCTCTCCGTAGACCTCTTTAGGGCTTCCATAAATACTGGATAAGAAGCCTCCTGGATCTCACATTTGGATAAAGCAAAGAGGCCCCCCAAACAAGCTATTCACTTCTAGTCGTATATCCAACTCATCTGTCTCCTCTTTAGATTGCATCATAGGAGAATTATCAGTGTAGACTGCTCATTGATAAGCTCCATAAAGATTTTTCATTCCCTCCAGCAATTCTATAGCAACTTTGCTATTATTAATAACTTCGGTTTTCAAGTCTAAATCCATCAGGTGCTCTTCTTTTCCTTCTCTCAGAATGCCTTCAAATAGTATGAGGTACTCATCCCTAGAGTCCGGTATGATCTGGGCCAAGGTCTGCAGTGAGACTTCAATAGAATTGAGCTGAGAGTCCCCTTGGATAGTCTGTCTTGCTCCCACCTGATGCCATTTGATGATTTGTTTCTGAAAATTAACTTCCACATCCCCCAGACTAGTCAGCCATTCCATGCCAAAAACCAAATCAGTTCCCCCTAATTCCAATACATAAAACTCCTGGTTTATAATAGTGTCCTGCAAACTTAAGCCCAATCCCTCACATCTGCCATTATTGGTGATCTTATCCCCATTTCCAATCTGAACCTTGTACCCAGAAATGTTATGATATGGTATACCTCATTGCTCCACCAATCTTTGTGATATGAAATTGTGGGTAGCCCCACTATCAATCAGTACTCCTACTGGTAATTCTCCCTGGTCCCATTTCAGATTGCCTGGCACTTTAAAAGCTCTCATTGAAGGTATCCCCTCCCTGCTC